AAGAGTCTTGAGCATACCATGGTCTGCCAAGAAAAGAAATAGGTCTGTCTTGGAGAGGGTGAAACCAAGTTTCTCTTTGCAGGCTAGGATTTTGAAGCTCCATCTCATATACTGTGGGCACGTGGCCAGGAGAGACCAGTTCTTGGAGAAGGACATCATGCTTGGAAGGGTGGAGGAACAGTGCAGGAGAGGAAGACCTGGGATGAGATGGACTGATACCGAAACTAGGGCAATGGGGATAGATGTATCGGAGTCAGGGCAGGCTTCAGAGCTATTGTTCATAGGGTTGCTATGAGTCGTAGGTGACTCAACAGCACATAACAACAACAACAACATGGTCCTGAGGCTCAAGACTAGTGATCCATTCCCTCAAGAGGGTAAATGGTTAAGAGTCTATGAAATAGTTTCCTGTTGTCTCTAAAATCTACTGGGTATACCTGCAGCATATACAGACACTCAAGCTGAACTGTCATATCTGACAAATCTATGACAATGTACACTGATAGGATGGCAATCAGTTATAGCCGATTCGACTGTACCTAACAACACAACATGAATATATGTATCCACACATAGAAAGACAAGACGCTATGGTGGCTTAAGATGGTAGGGAGATGTACTGCTAACCCAAAGGCCATGTCCCTCTGGCAGTTCAAATTCACCAACCGCTTCCAGGGAGGAAGATGGACAATCTCTTCTTATGTGACTTATAGCCCTGAAATCCAATGGAGGATCAGTTTCAACTCAGAGCCAGTTTCAACTCAATAGCAATGAGAAAGAGAAACAGACATATATTCATACATATATATGTATAGGTGTGTGTGTATGTGTATATATAAAATAAGTCCACTAGTTTTGAGTTAGTTATTAGTTCTGTCCCATAGTGATCCTGCCTTGGGTGTCTGAGACTTTAAATCTTTATAGGAGGAGATCACCCACCTCTCTCCCCTGAGAAACACCTAGCGGATCCTCACTTCCAACCTTTCAGTTGTTGTTATGTGCCGCTCTTAGCCACAGTACAACAGTTCTGAACTCTGCTCTATCCCGAGCCAATCTCATCACTCTGACAGACCTAATCTCACTTCTCTAGTCACTGTATCAATCCATCTCATCCTGGGTCTTCCTCTCCTGCACTGTCCCTCCACCCCTCTAAGTATTATCTCCCTCTCCAAGGATTGGTTCCTTCTGGCCACATGCCCAAAGTATGTGAGACAAAGCTTCAAAATCCTTGCCTACACTTCACCGAAGACGACATTCAGATGGCTAACAAGCACATGAAGAAATGCTCAAAATCCCTAGCCCTAAGAGAGATGCAAATTAAAACAACTATGAGATATCATCTCACCCCAGTAACAATAGCAAAATTTAACAGAACAGCAAGCAATAAATGCTGGCGAGGTTGTGGAGAAACTGGAACCCTTAATCACTGTTGGTGGGAGTGTAAAATGGTGCAACCCCTGTGGAAAGCGGTATGGCGCTTTCTCAAAAAGTTGCAAATAGAGATACCATTTGACCCCGCAATACCACTACTGGGAATATACCCAGAAGAGACCATAACTGACACCCAAGCAGATATATGCACACCCATGTTTACTGCAGCTTTGTTCACAATAGCAAGGAGTTGGAAACAACCTAAGTGCCCATCAACAAACGAATGGGTAGAGAAGCTGTGGTATATTCGCACAATGCTGCATTAAAAAACAAGGAACTCATGCAATATTACTCAAAATGGTTGACTCTGGAGAACATTATGCTGAGTGAAATGTCCCAGTCACAAAGGGACAACTATTGCATGGTGCCACTGTTGTAGAATGGGACTGTCCTTGGGGCTGGGGAGAGACTGAGTAAGATGGGTTCAATAATGTATGCTGTTCTGAAACAGAGAAGGGAGAAAACTGTTTATAAGAGATATGTGATTAGGTATTTCGGTCATGACAGGAGTCTAGAGTGATGGCTACATGGTGGAGTGGACCTGGGGGAGGGTTTGTAAAATAATGAAAGAATTTTTTCTTTTACTTTTCCAAGAGGGTAATGTCTGGTGGAGGGGAGCCTTGGGAGGGGACAAATCTACAACAATGAATGAATGGAAATCCAAAGCCTCTGTAAATTTTCACTGAAGTTAATAACAAATTTAAATTAAAAAAAAAGAATCAAGTTAGAGTAAGGATGGCAATGGAACCACCTTACCTCTGTAACTTGATTTGTGCCACTATTAGAACCTCTACTCAGAATATTATTGCTTTTCAATTTTTGACTCATGCACTTTTAACTTGTTAAATTTGTATCTTCTAGGCTGCAACACTTCCATGATACATCTTCAAGGATATGAATATGTACGGCTAAGCACAATTGATAACAGTGCATCTAAATTCCAAGATCAATCTCCATAATAGTCTATGTGTTTCCTACTGCCAAAGGGGCCCTTTAGAGTAGTGAGAGAAGACCTTCACCCTGAAACCCACAGCATCTCTTTTCAGCAGGAAGCAGCTAAGAGAATACGCCATCCCCTTTTCCTTATGAATCAGGGTGAAGTCTCTCTCAGGGAGGAGTGATAGGGAATTGCAAGGGACACACTGACAAAGAAGATTAATCAGAACTGGCTTTGACAAGCACTGTGGCAATTGGACAATTAAAACAGACATTGGTGGGGGGGAAAGAACAAACTGGGGATGAGGGTGGAGAAAACAGTGCAACAATGAATGAATGAAAACCCAAAATCTCTGTAAATGTTCATTAAAACTAATAAAATTTAATTTAAAAAAAAAATCCTTGCCTACAAGGAAAAACGTGATTTCACCTTTTAGTTAGCACCCCCATATATTAAACACTAAGGCACCTGGGCTCCATACATACAATAGGCATATACACACATACACACACACACACAGACACACACACACACACACACATATAAATGTCATGTACTATCAAGTTGGAACTGGACTCAAAGTTGACACTTCATCAGGTTTTCAGCGGCAATAATCACAAGGGAAGAGGTAGTCCATCTTTCTCCCAATAATAGACAGACAGATACATAGATAGATACGTATGTGTGTTGTTGTATGTGCCCTGGAGCCAGAGCCGACTCATAGTTTACTTTCCAGCAGGCTTTCAGAGGTTATAAATCATATAGAAGGAAATATACCATCTTTCTACCAATAAACATATATATATTTAAAATTAAAGTATGCCTGATTCAGGCTATATAGTCTTTTCAATAATTTGCCATGCCTGAGAAATCTGGACAATAAATAAGGCTGACAGAAGAACTGATGCCTTTGAACTGTGGCGTTGAAGAAGAGCACTGAATATTTCATGACCTACCAAATGGACCAACAGATATATCTCAGACAAACAGCAGACAGACTGCTCCTTGAAAGGCATACTTTGGGCATGTTGCTAGAAGAGGCTGTTCCTTTGAAAGGGAAATCATGCTTGGAAAGTGGAGAGTTAATAAAAAAAAAAGTGGAGAGTTAGTGAAAAAGACAAAAGACCCTCAACAAGAAGTGACTGCAGCAATGGGCTCAAGTGTGTCAGAGATGATGAGGATGGCACAGGATAGGGCAGGGTTGATATCTGTTGTTCAAAGTGTTGCTTTAAGTTGTACTTGATTTGACAGCATCTAACAATAACAATACAGATAGATAAATACATAGATGTTTATTATAGATGTTGTTGTTATGTACTGTGGAGTGATCCATTGCTAACCATCTAGCAGGTTTTCAGAGGCAGTAAAATCGAATGGGAGTTGACTGCCCATCTTTCTCCCGGGAGCAGCTAGCAGATTCAAACCACATGCCTTTCAGTTGGCAATGCAATTCCATACCATTAAGCTGTCAGAGTTTTACACACACACACACACACACACACACACACACACACACACACACACACACAGGAGCTGTGCTGCCAACTCAAAGGCACACATTTCAAATTCACCAGTTGTTCTGGGGAGAAAAATGGGAAATCTTCTCTCATCGACTTTCCTGCTTCTAAAAACTGCTGGAGGGGTCAGCTACAAGTTGTTCTGACTTGATGGTATGCAACAAAAACAAAATAAAATATTACTAATGATTTACAACACACCTTTCCATACATAATATGTTCTTAAGCATACATTTAAAAAACATATACATGTTTAACAATCCAGAGATCTTCAATCAAGCCCTTAAAGTCAGGCTGCTGAGGTTTAAATTCTGATATTTCTTCCATTCCCTACTCTGTGGTCTAAGGCAAGCACTTTATTTCTGTTCTTTTACCTGTAAAATGATTTTCCTAAAAAGTATACATTTCTTTAGTGTAGGAAGGGTTAAGGAAGATGATGTAAGACTCCTGGCACATAGAAAGTACTGAATAAACAGCAGGCATTCTTACTGTCATCTTTTTCTTATTAGATGGGGGTTTACTTAACAGTAGGGTGTATGTCATATTGCTTAATGCCCTAAGTTTATCACATAAACAAGGCCTGCCAGTACTATAGAAATTTTGGAGTTTTTCCTGTTGTTTTTGTTGATCTGTATGGGTGGAAGGAGACTATTTATTTTGAGCTATTATCTCTCATCACCACTGCGCCTGAAAAAGACAGCACTGCACCATCGAGAGAGGCGCCACAAATTTAACATTCTGCGCTTCTTCAGGGGCACACCGTATTATTCTAAGCGCTTTTAGTGCAGTTCACCCCACCCAACTCTTCTCTACTGCAGTCCTGGTCCTGAGCCAGGAAGCAGAGCAAGACAAGTCTGACAAGCAATCTGTTTCTGGCCAAAGCAGGAGCACAACTACCGGGATGGGAGTATGGATGAGAATGCTAGATGTTCCTCAAATCAATGCTGGAAACGTGTTTCGTTCCTCAAGTGGCCTGAACTATGTACCCCACACTTCTTTCTCCTTATACCGCCCAGAAGACAGCCGAGGTTCCTTCCCTTCCACCCCGCCCCAAGTCATATTTATCCAATCAGAGGATGCGCTAGAACTAGAAGATCCGCTCAGCCCCACCCGACGCAGCGTTTCCTCCCCAAGTGACAAATTATGAACAAATTAAATCGCAAGCAAATCTGAGGGACAGAAGACATAGCCAATCAACAAAGTCTACCCGCCTCCAATCAGCACCACTTCCCGGCTGGCCGCGGTGACTAGGATGAACGCCCTCCCCCAACCCCCACTCTTCCCCTACGGCTCGGTTACCTCGTGAGACACACATTCCAGCGACCGCAGCTCGCTACAATAGCGGCAGAAGTAAAGCTGCGAGAGCGGAGCCCGAACTTTCTTTTCTCCGTGGACTAGGTAGAGAACCCGCTCCGATTGCAGCAAGGACGCCATCTTCGAGAGGGAGGTGTCAACGACACTCCCGCTGCACCACGTGACCCGAGTCTGCGTTTCCTCGCTGCCCTACGTCAACGTAGCCTTTGACGTAAGGTTTCTGAATGAGATGGGTTTTGGCCGAGTGAGGTGCGCGTGCTCAGTCGGGTTCTGCTAGCTTCCCTGACTCGCTACCTGAGCCAACATTACTTTTGAGAGGGTCTGCTGAATCAAGGTCATTTAACCATTTTTTTGTTTGTTTTTATTACTTTCACTTGTACATTCAGTGGCAGTAATAACATTCATATTAATTACGTTTATCCAAATTAATTACATCCATCCAAAAACTGCTAGAACAGGACCTTGACGCAGGACTACCAGAAGTTCAAGCTGAGTTTGGAAAAGACAGTGGCACCAGAGGATCCTGGCTGAAAGCAGAGCATACCAGAAAGATGCATATTTGTGCTGTGTTGACTATGCAAAGGCATTAGATTGTGTGGCTCATCACAAAGTATGGCTAACAGTGAAAAGAATAGGAATCTCAGGACCATATGTTCGTATGCAACCTATAATAAAGACCAAGAATGGAGCAAGGGAACACGATATAGTTTAAAATTAGTAAGAATGTGGTCAGGGATGTATCCTTTCTCTGTACCTATTCAGTCTGTATGCTGAGCAAATCATTCTGGAACATGGACTCGCGAGAAAAATGTGGCATCAGGTCTGGAAGAAAACTCATCAACAGCCTGCCTTATGTGAATAGTAAACCTTGCTTGTTGAAAGTGAGGACTTGAAATGCTTTCTGCAAAAGATCAAAGACTATAACGTTGAATATGGATTACATCTCAACATCAAGAAGACAAAAATCCTCACCACCGAACCGATGAGCAACTCATGATAGATGGAGAGAAGCTTGAAACTGTCATTAACTTCATTTTACTTGGATCCACAAACATCCTTGTTACCAGCAGTTGGGAGATCAGCAGATGCATTGTATTGGACAAGTCTGCTGTTGTTGTTTCTCCATCCCTCCACCCTTCTAAGCATGACATCCCTTTTCAAGGACTGGTCCCTCCTTGCAACATGCCCACAAATGTCAGATGAAGCCTTAGAATTCTTGCCTCCAAGGAGCAGCCTGGTTTAACCTTCTCCTGGGTGAACCTGTTTCTTTTCCTGGCAGTCCATGGTATGTTCACTCCTCTTCTCCAGCACCACAGTACAAGGGCATCATTTCCCTTTCTGTCATCCCTAGTCATTGTCCAGCTCTCTGATGCATAGCAAGTAATTGTGAAGACTATACTAGTGCTGTTATATCTGGAGAAACACTCTTCCCCTTTGTACATCACTCTTGTCAATGTGCAGTATGAAGTAACCTGAATTACTGTGACGCTGAACCTTGTGCCATTGGGGTATCAAATACCAGAATGGCTCCCCATTGTGGACAGTATTTGTTCAACTCCCAGTTATAAAACAGGTTTGGAGGCAGGAGTGGCATCCTAAACCACATACCTCTGGAAACTATGGACTTGGTGAAATGACAACAGTTATGGAAAGGCACTAGGTCTTCTGTTCATAGAGTCACTATGAGTTGAGCTCTACTCAATGGCAATCAACAACAATGACAACAATGCCTGGATCAGGCGCCCCTTAGTCTCCAAACTGACATCGTTGCTCTTCAGTCCTCCAGAGAGGTCCTTGAAAGACTGCCAGTGCAATACATCTTTAGATTTCCTGGCTGCTAGTACCAAGAGTGTTGCTTGTGAAGCCAAGCAAACTAAAGCTGTTAACAATCATAATCTCTTCACCATCTATCATAATGCTTCCATTCAGCCCAGAGTGAGAATCTTTGTTTTCTTGATGTTGAACTTCAATCCTTATTGAAGGCTGCAGTCATTGTCCTCACAGAGCAGTAAGTGCTTCAAGTCCTCCTCAGTTTCAGCAAGCAGGGTTGTATCATCTGCATAATGCAGGTTTTTTATGGGTTTTCCTCCAATCCTGATGGCACATTCCTCCTCATAGAACCCAGCCTTCTGGATGATCTATTCTGTATATAGATTGAAAATGTATGTTAAGGACCTCGAAATTATTGAGTTGTTGTTTTTGTTATGTGCTATTGAGTCACTTGCAACTCATAGTGACCCTCTGTACAGTAGCCCTGAAACCTGCTCTAGCCTTACCAACCTTATTGCCAACCTTATTGTCTCTGACACGCCTACTCCCATTACCCCAGTCACTAACTCAATTCATCTCTTTGAAGGTCTTCCTCTCTTCTACTGTCCCTCCACCCTTCCAAGCACGATATCCTTCTCTAAGGAATAGCCTCACCTAGACACATACACCAAATATGAAAGATGAAGTCTCATCATCTTTGCCTCAAAGGAACACTCCTGCTGCACCCATTCCAGGACACATTTGTTTGTTCTTTTGGCAGTGCATGATACTCGGTGCTCTTCTCCAGCACCACAGTTCAAAGGTAGCAATTTTTCTTCCTTTATTCATTGACCAATCCTTATTCATTGACCAGTTTTCTGATGCATAGCAGGAGAATGAGAATACCATGGCCTGAATCAGGCACACTTTAGTCTTCAAATTTACATCATCACTCTTCAGTATTTTGGAGAGAACTCTGACAGAGCACTTGTTCCATACAATGTCTCCTGATTTCCTGACTGCTGGTACAAGATTGTTGATCCAAGCAAAATGAAATCATTAGCAGCTTCACTCTTTTCTCCATGTAGTATAATGTTGACTGTTGGGCCTGTAATGAGAATCTCTGTCTCCTTGATTTGGCATCATATAATGCTTGCTCTTTAGTGTCTAATATATTTCGTTTAACATGATATTTATGAAATTCCTTCACATTGTAGCACGTATTAGAACTTTGCTTCATTTCATTAACTCATTCATTATCTTGTAGTCGGAATCAACTCATAGTCAACCTTCCTTGGAGGGTAAGCTCAGGTACTTATGTATGCTGGTAAATCCCAAGCCTGAGGATAAAATACCAGGGTAGAGGCTTCTAACTCATAGTTGCAGTGGCCAACAAACTCAAGATCAGCAGTCAATCAGCAGACAAGTGGCACTGGGAAACAACAAATAAAAAATTAACATGAAATATGGCAAACTTGGCTAAAGGCCAAAAAACCCCTAAAGGGGGGGGAAAAAAAACCCCAAACCCTAAGGTCAGATAGTGATGAGCCTGATGTGATATTCTGATGGAGCAAAAAGCAAGAAAGCTTTGTTAGATGGCCATATTTTTTTTCCATTCCAGCTACACTTCAGAGGAAACTCCCTTCCACCCAATCTAATGGGTATTGTTATTGTTGTTATTTTGTGCCACTGAGTCAACTAGGACTCGTAGCAAACCTGTGAAACACAGATCTGAGCTCTGCCTTATCCTGTACCATCTTCATACTTTTTGACATGAGTGAGCCCATTGTTACTGTCACTGGGTCAATCCATCTCATTGTGGGTCTTCTCTTTTGATGATCTTTCACCTTCCCAAGCATCATGTCCTTTTCCAGCAACTGACCCCTCCAAACAACATGCCCAAAATATGTGAGACAAAACATATTTTTTGTCTCCAAGGAGCATCCTGGTTATACTTCCTCCAAGACATATTTATTTGTTCTTTTAGCAGTCTATGGAATACTCACTACTCTTCTCCAACACCACAACTCATAGGCATCAGTTCTGTCATCCTTATTGTCCAAAGTTCAGATACATAGTAAGTAATTGAAAAGGCCATAGCTTGGTGCTCCTTAGTGTTTAAACTGATAATGTTGCTTTTTAGGGCTTGAAGAGGTCCATAGCAGGAGAGTTTTCTTAAGGCAACAAGTCTTTTAGTTTTTTGACTATGGATACAAAAAAAATGTTGATTGTATATCCAAGTAAGATAAAGTTGTTGACACTTTCAATCTTGTTTCCATCTGTGATGATCTTGCCTATTGGTCCAGTGGTGAGGAATTTTGTTTTCTTTTTTTCTCTCTTTTTAAAAATTATTGTTAATTTTAATGAAAATTTACAGAGACTTTGGATGGAAATTCATTCATTGTTGCACTTTTCCCCCTATCC